TGGCCACTTGGAGCCGTCTTGGAACGGTCTTGGGGCCTCTTGGAGCATCGTGGAAGCAATATTGAGGCATCGTGGGAGATCTTGCGCCATCTTGGAGGTCATCTTGGGCTCTCCCAGGCGCTCTTGGAGTCATCTTAATCAGTGCCCCCCTCCAGGAGGCCAAAATGGGGCCAAAACATGAATAAAACAAATGATTGTGGCTTCCTCGCCGAGGCCGTTTTAGACGCTCCAACTACCCGCGGATACCCCTGTCCAGGTCCAGGGGAGGGAGTAGGGGGAGGGGTAAACCCCTCCCCGAAGGGGAAGAAGGGGGTTGGAAGAGGAAGCTCCCTAGACCACCTACGCCCTAAAGGGCTGGCGGGATTAGTATTATAATTCGTCTTCTTACTACTAGTTTTGCTATTGTTTTTTGTATTAGTGCTACGTATTCTTGTTATTCGGATTCCTCCTCCTCCTCCTCCACCTCCGCCTCCGCCTGACCCTCCTCCTCCTCCGCCTCCGCCTCCGCCTCCGCCTCCGCCTCCGCTTCCGCCTCCGCCTCCGCCTTCGCCTCCGCCTCCTCCTACGCCTCCGCCTCCTCATCCTCCTCCTCTTGTTCGTCGTCTTATTATTCGTATTCTTCATACGATTTGTAATATTAGTAATAACAGTAGTAGTCGTAGTAGCAGTATTAGGATTGTTAGTACTAGTATTATTCGTAGTAGTCCTCTTCGCCTTCATGATATTATGATACTGATAGTGTTCGTCTGCTGTTTCGCATTATTACTCGTAGTATTCGTCTTAGTCTTAGCATTCGCCGTCGTAGTACTAGTATTCTGATTCGTAGTCTTATACGTACTCGTAGCAGTATTGCTATTATTCGTCTGCGGTTTCCTCCTCCTCCCCCTCCTCTTCCTCCTCCTCCTCTTCCTCCTCCTCCTCCTCATTGCTCGTCTTCCTCCTCCTCCTCCTCCCCCTCCTCCTCCTCCTCCTCCTCCTTTTCCGCCTTCTCCTCCTGCTCCTCCTACTCCGCCTCCTCCGCCTCCTCCTCCTCATCCTCATCCTCCTCATCCTCCTCCTCCTTCTCATCCTCCTCCCGCCTCCTCCTCATCCTCCCCTCCTCCTCCTCCTCCTCCTCCTCCTCCTCCTCCTCTTCCTCCTACTCCTCTTCCTCCTCCTCCACCTCCTCCTCCTCCGCCTCCTCCAAACCGGATATAGCAAGAAAGCAGAAATGATCGATGTGACTCTGAGCGTTGGCAAAGTTTAGACTTCTGGTGGGGGCGGCGCTAATTGAGTACCCCCCCCTCTTTGATCGAACTTCTCCTAAATGGCCCCAATGGCGCCCCAAGAGGGCCCCAAGAGGCGCCCAGCAGACCCCAAGAGGCCCGAAATTGGTCCCCAAGAGGTTCCCGGAAGACCACCAAGAGGTCCCAACGCTCCAAGAGGCCCCAGGAACAGCCAAGAGGCCCTCAAGAGGCCCTCAATACGCCCAAGATGCCTTCAGAAAGCTCTCAAGAGACATCCGATGAGACATCCAAGAAACCTCTGGCCGTTCTGATCACCCTCCTCCCCTTCATCATACGATGCGTGTGAGTCTTATAAATACAATACTATCTATGCGATTGTTTTCTTCGTAGTCTTGATATGCGTAATAGCACCACGAAAATTAGTATACGATTATTCGTATTCACAGTATTGGTATTATTGATGCAAGTATTGCTCGTAGGTTTGGCATTGTTTCTATTATAATAGGTGTGGTCACCCGTATTTCTACTATATAATTCGTACTCCGCAGCATCATCATCATCATCATAATCAGCATCAGCATCAGCATTATCATCAGAATAATCATCATCATCAGAATCAGCATCATCAGCATCATCACAATCAGCATCATCAACAGCATCGTCATCATCATAATCATTATCAGCATCTTCAGCATCATGGCATCATCAACAGCATCAGCGTCAGCATCAGAAGCCGCATCATCAGTTATCAGCATCATTATCATCATCGTCAGCATCATCAGCGGCCGCATCGTGATCATCATCAGCATCATCATCACCATCATCCGAATCAGCATCCGCATCAGCAGCATCATTTTCATCATCATCATCATCATCATCATCATCATCATCGTAATAACAATCAGCAGCATCATCATCGTCACCATCAGCAGCAATATCATCCTCATCATCATCATCGTCAGTGTCATCAGCATCATAATCAGCAGCAGCATCATCAGTACCAGCACCAGCATCCTCAGCATCATCAGCAGCGTCACCATCAACAGCATCATCATCATCAGCAGCATCAGCACCACAATCATCATCATCATCATCATCCTCATCGTCGTCATCATCATCATCAGCATCATCATCAGCATCGTCATCATCATCATCATCATCATCATCATCAGCTGCGTCATCATCATAATCACCATCATCATCACCATGTTCAGCATCATGGCATCATCAACAGCATCGGCGTCAGCATCAGCAGCAGCAGCATCATCAATTATCAGCATCAGCATCATCATCCGCACTGCCATCATAATCAGCATCATCAACATCATCAGCGTCAGCATCAGCAGCATCGTCGTCGCCATCATCAGCATCATCGGTATGTATCAGCAGCATTACAAGTATCATCATCAGCATCATCATCATCAGCATCAGCATCTGCATCAGCAGCATCATCATCGTCGTCATCATCAGAATCATCATCATCATCGTCGTCATCATCATCAACATCATCAGCATCGTAATCAGCATCATCATCATCATCATCATCATCCGCCTATTCCCCCTCCTCCCTCCTCCCTCCTCCCCCTCCTCATCCTCCTACTCCAATGTCTCCTCCATCCACCCTGGCTTGAGGTATGTGGCGTTGCGTGAAGCGTCTAGTGTATCATAGACTCATAGAATAGAATAGAGGAGACAAGAAGATTGTATATGTGTGAGTAGAGTCGAATCGGACCGGCCTAGAGCAGAGTAGGAGAAGAGCAGAGGAAGTAGACTAATTAGGGTAGGGTAGGGTAGAATGAATAAAAATAGGGCAGAGTAGAGTGGAGTAGAATAGAGCAGAGTAGAGTAGAGTGGGGCAGGGTAGCGTAGAGTAGGTCAGGGTGGAGCAGAGTAGAGTAGAGCAGAGTAGGGTAGATGGTGGATTAGAGTTGGGTCGATTAGAGCAGAGCAGAGCAGAGGAGGGTAGATTCAAGTAGGTTACAGTCGAGTAGAGTAAGAGAAGAGTAGGGGAGGGTAGAGAAAAGTAGACTCGAGTAGAGAAGAGTAGAGTACAGTTCAGTAGAATAGAGTAGGGTAGAGTAGATTAAAGTAGAGTAGAGTAGGGCAGGGCAGGCTAGGGCAGAGTAGGGCAGTGTAGAGCAGAGCAGAGTAGAGTAAAATAGATGATAGATGATAGATTAAAATTAGGCCGGATAGAATAGAGTAGAGCAGTTCAGAGCAGAACAAAGAAGAGCAGAGATGATCAGAGTAGAGGAGAGTAGAGTAGAGTAGGTGAGAGTAAAGCAGAGTAGAAGTAAGTAGAGTAGAGAAGAGTAGATGAAACGTGTAGTACAGAGTTGAGTAAGACTAGAGCAGAGTAGAGTAGGGTAGATGGTAGAGTCAAGTCGGGTAGAACAACTACAGTAGAGTAGTCCACGCCAGTCCAGTCCAGTCTGCTTCAGTCCAGGCTACGTCAGTCCACTTCAATCCAATTAATGTCAGTCTTCCGATCTATGTGGCATCTGCGCTGGCTGATACTAACTATGTGCTGTTCCTCCTTTACGCGTTGCCTAGAGAGGGTTCTCACTTGTTTGAGGAGAACCAATGGATGCCCGACGCGGCTGGCCCCGACGATCCTCAGGGTTCCCCTACCTTGTTTCCTTACCGGAGGGGGTCTTCGGGGATTCCCGGTCTTGTTCCTTACAGGGGCCCTTGGTTCCTCGGTCCTGTTTTCTTGCGAAGGTTCCTCGGGTTCCCAGGGCTTGTTCCTTGCTCGGGTTCTTCGAGTTCCCTGGTCGGGTTCATTGCTTGGGTTCCTCTGGTTCCCCAGTCTTGTTTCTTGCTCAGGTTCCTCGGGCTCCCCGGTGTTCTTCCTCGGCTTCCCCGACATCGCAAGGCAGTGCCGAGCAATGCCAAGCACGGCGCACATGCAGTGGGAGGCTGTCTTCGAACTGGCATCACGCTGGGTTCAGCTCTTAATTGGGCCTCGCGCGGAGGGAAAGTCCTCCTCATCATCCACTCTCTTTTTCCCTTTACAGAGGCGAAAAGGAAGGATTCCTCAGTAAGGATTGCTTTAGTCATGACTCCTGCTCCTCCACCCTTTCCTCCTCGTCCTCTTCCTCCGGATGGCCTCCGCCTGTCCCCAACGTGGCCCGAGAGTGGCCCAAAAAGGGAGAGGATGTAGCGGGACGACGTGAAGAGGAATCGGAAGGAGGGAGACGAGAGGACAGGGACGAGGCGGCGAGGCGAAAGAAAGGGAGGAGAATTCCCCAATCAGTGCTTGCACTGAAGGGGTCATCGCGAAAGTTGAAAGATTTGGCGAAAGTTTCCCGCCGACCTTGGTAGCAGGCTGGGTTCCCGGGTTCCCGGTTCCGGCTTCCCGGGGTCCCGGTTATTGGTTCTGGGCCGATTTCGGTAGGTTCTGGGCTCCCGGGTTCCCGGTCGATCTCCTCAACGAAAACCATCCACTGATTGGGGCTCTTCTCTGGTGCAGTATATATATATATATATATATACATATACATATACATACATACATAGGATGAGGCAGAGGAGGTGGGGAGGGCCTCCGCCTCTCCAGCAGAGCAAAACCCTGCACGAGCACATTTCGGAGGTCCGCCGGATCTCTCAGGTCAGCCCCCACCGTATCACCGATCCGTCGACATCGGCCGGTGCCGGGCCACTGGCGGCGTTCGACCAGGAACGCCCGAGCCGGCGTCGCCGCAGCGTCGGCGCGGCACGAACCTGCCGTGCCCGCCGAAACCTGCCCCCGGCGGGCCCCAACCGTCCGACGGCCTGCACGGGCTGCGAATAGGCCGCCGACACGGCGGTGGCCGCCAGCAGCGGCAGCGGCGGGGCCAGCTGCAGCGGCGGGGGGGCGAGCTGCTGCGGATGGGGCCTCGAGGCACGCGCGCGGGAGCGCCAGGTGAGGGCAGGGGGGCCGCCGGGGCGGGGGGAAGCTAGTTGATTGTCTCCCCGTGCGAAGGATCCGACGACCACTCCGACAAACCCTGCCATCCACCCCTCAGCGTCGGGGGCCGACGACCACTCCGACAAGCCCTACTTTCCACCCCTCCAGTCTTGGGCCAAAGGCTCAAGTGCAATGAAGCAAATCATACGTCAAAACACGTTACCCCCACATGTTCGATACCACGCCTTGCCTAGAGACTGCACGTTGAATCATGTAACAGGCCCATGTCGGATACCTCCCGTTATGGGCCTACACCTTTGAAAATACATGCTAAATACATGTGCCGAACGCATGTTCGACACCCCCCACAGAGCACGTATCTTTACGTGTGAAGCATCCGATGGCCGCACGCTCGATACCAACCTTGGCGCCTACACACGTGAGAACACCTGCCAAATGCACGCAGGGGCGCATGTTGGATATCCCCCCTGGCGCACACCCCCGCTTGCGCATGTTTTTCACATACGAACATCCGACGATCACTCCGACGCATCCCGCCTTACACCCCTCGGACCAACTGCCAAAGGCCCCACGGAGAAAAAGAACCCTGGGCCCGCGCCCTCAGCGGGAAAATCAATCATACTCAAAAGCCACGCGCAGGAGCGCGTAGGCGAAAGAAGCCAACGCCAGCCTATCGTCACCGTTTTGCGGGAGCGACGGCACAACGGCGGTCGCTTAGTCTACAGCGTGCGTGGCAGGGCGAGGAAGATTAGGATCGGGTGTTGCTAGAAGTACCCCTGGCCCAAGATGCCCTCAGCTTTTCGCTCCATGTTGGAGCCCCTGGGGCCCTCCGGACCTCGTGAGGGGTGCTCTGGAGGCCGTCTGGGCCACCCCGAGAATCCTGGGGGCACCTTGACCCAAGGGCGTTTCTG